ATACAATCTTTTGGGATGTAGCAATAAAAGTGGTTGGCTGAAAATCCATTTTCATACAATTCTTGATACTGAGAAATGGATGGAGCAATGCAAGTGGCTCTTCCGGTGGTGGGAATTGTGGCCGCTGCAGCTGTTACCTTCTACACCGTTAGCTTTGCTGAGATTAGAGAGGTGCCTTTCATAAACTTCTTCTCCCATTTTATGTTCTTCACTAGCTGTCGGTATTTTTACATATTAACAACATTTTGCTTTGGCTGTTTCTTTGTCATTCCATTACTCAATTTCCAGATATCCTTCAGAGACTTGGAAGAGTCGGAGATTGAAAATCAAGGATTGACGTCCCTAAGTTCCAGGAAGAGGCGTGCCAGAAGAAAAGAACAGAAAGAAACCAAAACTTGATCACTGAACATGAAAATCTGGCTTGGAAGAAGACATGATATTAAGTTCATTTGGTTTATCTTGAGTGGCTCATGCTGTATTCATGTCAAGTAATGAGTATTTCCATATCATAGTTTTTGTATAAAATTATTTACGCCATTCAAGCATTTCATCGAGCATCTGGTATGCATAACAAAAGGAAAATCTTCTCTCCCTCAATCCATTGTCTAAAAACCCAAAATTTAAGCACTAAAATCATGCCAATATCAAGGAAACACTACATGATCTAATAAATGCAAGGTAATTATAAGTCATCAATGAAATCAACAATTAGTCCACTGTCAATGAGCTCAAAACGATTAGTAACTTCAAAAATCAAATCATGAATTCAGATCATCACATACATGGCAAATGCCTTGCTTGTAAGATTTCTACCTCCTGTCTCAAGCCTTCCTTTCCACCTAATTGCTCCTTGTGATAGTCTTGACATTTTTCCCTCCTTCACACTACTGTGTCTCTGATACTCGAGTACCCCATTCAAACTGCATCATCCTTGCTTATCTATCTACAACAAAGTCATAAACTCTCTCTGCAGAAATTGTAAAATGTTATTAAATTTATATTGAAGAAAAAACTTGGGAATGGAATTTTAAACAATTCCAACAAACGGACACTAATAACTCAAGAGTTTGAACTTTTAAATTACTTACGATTACAAGAGTAACTCTTTAAAAGTATTTTAGATTTAATTACAATAACTCTTAAGAATT